CCCAAGAAAGATGATCCAACCGAATGCAGAAATTATTGAACAACATCATTAATACCACATGCAAGTAAAATGTTACTGAAGATCATTCAAAAGCGGCTGCAGCAGTATATTGACAGGGAACTGCCAGAAATTCAAGCTGGATTTAGAAAAGGACATGGAACCAGGGATATCATCGCTGATGTCAGATGGATCCTGGCTGGAAGAGAATACCAGAAAGATGTTTACCTGTGTTTTATTGACTATGCTAAGGCATTTGACTGTGTGGATCATAAGAAATTATGGATAACATTGCGCAGAATGGGAATTCCAGAACAGTGTGCTCATGAGGAATCTGTACATGCATCAAGAGGCAGTTGTTTGAACAGAACAAGGAGATACTACATGGTTTAAAATCAGGAAAGATGTGTGTCAGCGTTGAATGTTTTCACCATACCTATTCAGTCTTTGTGCTGAGCAAATAATCCAAGAAGCTGGACTACATGAAGAAGAACAGGTCATCAGGATTGGAGGAAGACTCCTTAACAACCTGCATCATGCAGATGACACAGCCTTGCTTGCTGAAAGTGTGAAAGTGAGGAGGACTTGAAGCACTTACTGATGAAGATCAAAGACCACAGCCTTCAGTATAGATTACACCTCAGCATAAAACAAAAGTCCTTACAACTGGACCAATAAGCAAAATCATGATAAACGGAGAAAAGATTGAGGTTGTCAAGGATTTCATTTTACTTGGCTCCACAATCAGCATGCATGGAAGCAGCAGTCAGGAAATCAAAAGATTCATTGCACTGGGCAGATCAGCTGCAAAAGACCTCTTTGAAGTGTTGAAAAGCAAAGATGTCACCTTGAGGGCTAAGCTGCACCATACCCAAGCCATCATGTTTTCAGTCGCCTCATATGCATGCGAAAGCTGGACAGTGAATAAGGAAGACAAAAGAAGAATTGACGCCTTTGAATTGTGTTGGCGAAGAATATTGTATATACCGTGGACTGCCAAAAGAACAAACGAATCTGTCTTGGAAGAGTACAACCAGAATGCTCCTTAGAAGTAAGGATGGTGAGACTACATCTCACATACTTTGGACACATTATCAGGAGGGATCAGTCACTGGAGAAGGACGTCATGCTTGGTAAAGTAGAGGCTCAGCACAAAAGAGGAAGACTCTCAGTGAGATGGATTGACACAGTGGCTGCAACAATGGGCTTGAACATAGTAACGGTTGTGGGGATGGCGCAGGACCGGGCAGTGTTTCATTCTGTTATGCATAGGATTGCTATGAGTCAGAACTGACTCAACGACAACTAACAAAAACAACAGCAAAGCTTTGTTTGATACGTTTTTAAGAGTTGTCACTTCAGCGACCATCTCTAACACAGGGGTTGGCAAACTTGTTCTATGAAGGGCCAGAAATAGAAAGTATTTTAAGCTTTGCAGACCGTAAAGTCTCTATCTTAAGTACTCAACTCTGCCTTTATCCCTTTAAAGCAGCCGTAGGCAGTACACAAACAATGAGCATGGCTGTGTTTCAATAACATTTTATTTACAAAAACCAGGAGCTGGATTTGGCCCACAGGCTGTAGTTTGCTGACCCCTGAACTCATTGAATGAGTTCTCCTCCTTTTATCTTTGTCCATTCTCACTGCATTCATGGGCATTTGATATTTGTGATATTGGTAAGGGAGCCAGGTTTCTCAAGAAGGGCTGTCCATGAGTGTGTGCATCATAGCCACAGTTTGCACATGGTTCTGGTGGGTTCTAGTGTGGCCACGATGTCCTGCCTCACAAGGCCTCCAGTTGTTTGCCTATCTCTTTCTTTCCGTTATTTCTTCTGCTTCCTTCTCAGGAACCTGGAATCCTGTAGTATGGTGTAAGTATAACATACAGGTGAAATGTGTATAAATCTTAAGTTTTATAACTGGAAGCATTTTGGTAGCATTGTACTAAGAGTTTTATTGTGGATGAGTTGGCTAATTAAGGACGGTGGCACAGTATGAGGTGATGTAGGCTGTATTTTGTGAGCCAGTGTTGCCAGGAGTATGTCGTGTTAACTACCTGAAATGGGTGTAATTAGTTTAGTTTTTTTAGGTTAAGGGCCCTGTTGTAATTGGTAGCTAAGATTTGCTGGTGGAGAAGGAGGGCTGGATATTCAGCAGCATAGGTTTTGGTAAACACCACATTTAAGGAACTATAGAAGATTTAAATGTTAATGTTTTTGAATTGTTTAACAAGTTTCTCTGTATTTTTGTCATTTTTTTAATTGAATTTTTCTAATTAGAATCCAATTAAAACCAGTACTTTGAAACTTAAATTTTGATGCATGCTGTATAAGGTCACTATGAGTCGGAATCAATTCAACGGCAGTGAGTTTGGTTTTTTGGTTTGGTGCATCAATAAAGTACATTTTATTTTATCTAAGTCTAGGGAAACAAGTATTGGATCCGAAGTCAGGGCACTTACTTATAAATTTCAGGTTTACTTCTTACTAGTTTTAAGATCTTAGAACAGGGATTTAACCTCTCTGAGTCAGTCTGTATATTAAGGAAAACATCCACTTTCTTAGCTTACAGGTGTGGAAAGAATCAGAAAAGATAAATGTTGAGAAACTCCCATTGGTAGGTCTTCCAGCTCTCTGTGCATGTGGTAGGCAAGCAGTGTAGTTCTGTGATTTTTTCTAACTTCATGTAAGTTTAGAAATAGTCCTTATCTTCTAACCTGCTGGACCATATTGAGCTATTAGTTGCTATTCTGTCTGGAACAACTTCTGTCCAGCCAGTGGTGGTCTGGTGATCTAGAAGTAGTGAAGTGATTTCACTCGGTCATGTTTCAGCACTCATTTAATAGGCACCTAACCATGTGGTCGCTGTGTGTCGGAATCAATATGATGGCAGTGGATTTGTTTTTTTTTTGGTTTTACCACATGCTAGGCACTACAATTTCAGCGTTGAACATAAGTCAGTCCATTTTATACCTTACCCTCATCTTTTAGAGTGTGAGACAGGCATGAATGAAAAAAATAAATACAAAATTGTAGCTGTGATAAGTGCTAGGAATTACAAGTATGCGATGCTCTGATAGAGGATTTAATCTAGGCAGGAGGTTTAAAAAAAAAAAATTCCTGAGAAAGTGGTTAGGCTAAGGGAAGAGAAAAGGATATTCCAGGAAATGGGAATAGCATGTGCAAAGACCCAATAGGTGGAACGAGTGTGGTAAGTAGAAAGGATTAAAGGAGGCCACGGTGGCAAAGCAGTGAGATGAGGAGGCTTGTGGTGTTGGACTAGACGTGCAGGGCTGTGTAGGCCATGTGGAGGAGACTTGTCTTCAGAATGGAAAATTATTCGAGTGGTTTGAGCTGGGGATTTGACGTGAGCAGATTAGAATTAACTCTGCAAGTAAACGTTGGGATGCTGTTCTTAAAACTAGCCTTGTGCATTTTCAAGAACTTTAAATAGAATTTATTGTTGCAACTCAAATTTATTATATTTTTGTTAAGAGAAGGGTTGGTTCAAGACTGTGATTGCATTCTTCATGAATTCTTAGGTGTTTGGGGATTATCAGTAAACCAGTTACTGTCCATCACTGTTGAAGGTTTTTATAGTGATAGAACTAGGCAACATATCAGTACCCTAATCATTGTGACCCTGGAGCCTGATTGCTTAAAAATGTTCTTAGACCTCGTTGAGTTTTAGGTATTAAGGTTCAATGATGAGCAAGATTAAAATAAATTCTAGAAAACTATTTTTTTCAGAATACCTTATAACTTTTGGTTTCTTGTATTTCTTTAATCTTCCCATTTAACTTCTAAAACTATATTTTAAAGTTTGATTGCCAGCTAATTTATAATTTGAGTACACAGGAAAACTTGATGTGGCTTTCTTGACTATATTTTAAAATAAATAGATGACATTATTAATTCTGAGGTTAAAGCTAAACTCTGTTTCTCATTCCTTACAAAAGGAGTCAGAGACGTTGGTTTGGGAAATCAAGTCAAGTGTTAATAAAACACATTTTAAATATTCTGTCAGACAGTTCTCTAAATGAGAGGGTGTAATTTATTTCATCTCCAGAATACTTTTCAGTAACATATGCAACTTCTGTGTTTGGTAAATGTGCACCTGTGTTTGATAAAACAGCTAATGTAAGCTAATCACATTTCCACAAATAAACAGGAAAACAGACCTTTAACATTTCTTTGAAAGGAGTGGTGTGTAGCAGGTACCATGTTTAACGGGGCAGGTCCACCTACAGTTTTGCGTGTGCACAACGGAGGAAGCCAGCCGTAGTCTCTCACAGGCTAGTAGTGGTAAAGAGTGTGCTGAAGAAACCCAGGTGTTGTCCTGAGCCTTCTGTTTCCCACAAGGGTGTGACATCCCCTTCTAAAGAACATGTATTTCTGTGCATGCCTCATTTTCTGTGCATTCCTAAGTGTCACTGTGGAAATAAGATTATAGCGTTATGTTATTAAATACCCATTGCCATCAAGGCAATTCCAACTCATAGTGACCCTGTAGGATAGAGTAGAAGTGCCACATGGGGTTTCCAAGTCTGTAAGTCTTTATGGACGCAGACTGCCACATCTTTCTCCCACAGAGGGGCTGGTGAGTTCAAACTGCCCACCTTTTGGTTAGCAGCCGAGCACTTACCCACTGCGCCACCAGGGCTCCTCCGTGTTATTAGATATTAATATATAAATAATGAGAGGCAGTGTAGTACAGTAGTTAAGAGTGCAGGCTCGGGTTCCGCCATTCTGGTTCAACCCTCTCAGACCCCCAGAGCTCTTTTTGCCTCAGTTTCTGTATCTTGCAGTGGAAAACAACCTCTTGTTTTTATTGTCTCTGTTGTGAGGAGGTAGAACACTTACAGTGCCTGGAACCTAGTGTCACTTCTTATTTACCATCATCATCATCATCATCATGAAGTGTTCGTTCTAGGTCACTAAGTGACTGTGGACATTTTATAGTAGTAGTTAAAGCTCACAGAATGTTATTTTTCTTTTTTGAAGGAGAAATTGTTGTAAATGAAGTGAATTTTGTGAGAAAATGCATTGCAACAGACACAAGTCAGTATGATTTGTGGGGAAAGTTGATATGCAGTAACTTCAAGATTTCCTTTATTACAGAAGATCCAATGCCATTACAGGTGGGTTTTATTTGTACACTACGTAATTATATCAAAGCTCTTAACTCTAAGCAGCACATATTATTGTATAAATCACAGATAAGGAAAAATGATAATGACGTTATTACACCCACTCCTCACTTAGTGGTATGGTTAGATTCCAAAGACCAGGTTGTTATGCGAAAATGGAGGATGGCCACATCAGGTCACAAAATGGAAGATGACTATATCATTATATAACTGCCAGATTACATCGTTACGTAACTGCCAAACCACTGAGATTCATGGCTCAGCCAAGTTGACAGGTAACCTTAACCATCACAGCCAGCATTACTCTCGCCTCGCATCTCGGCGTTCGTTACTGTCAGACATACATCATTAATGCACAGAATAGATAGTCGATGTTTCACTGTTGTAAATGTGCAATGTTGGATAATGAGATAGTAAGTGAGGAACAAGTATAATAATCAGTCTATTGTTGGATATGTGTTATATTAAAATGCAAAATAAAGTTTAGAATTTTGGAACGTGAAGAATAGAGTTTGTCGATGGTTTAAGTCACTTTGCTGTGTTTATCCTCTGTGAGCATTGGTAGTTTGTCCTTTTCAATTAGGGAGTTATTATTTCCTTGCTTCCAGCTCCTTTAACCTTCTTATGAAAACAGAGATATCCTTATTTACTAATCATAAAAAAAAAATTATTTAGCAAAAAATCTTATAAATGCTACACGTTTTACAATATTTTTAACTAATCAGGTCTTTTTCCAAAAAATTGAAGCCTAGTTTCTAGTGTATAGAGTGAAAAAAGTATTAATAAAGTTTTTCTTTAGTAACTCTTTTATAATCTTACTGGAAAACAATACAGTATTCCCCCATTATCTACAGTTTTGCTTCCCATGTTTCAATTACCCTTGATCAGCTGTGGTCCGAAAATACTAAAGGGAATGTTCCAGAAATTAACAGTTCATAGGTTTTAAATTGCATGCCATCCTGAGTAGCGTGATGAAATCTCGCACTGTCCCACTCCGTCCCACCTGGGACATGGATCATCTGTTTGTCCAGCCTATCTGTGCTGTATCCGCCACCCTCCTGTTGGTCACTCACTAACCATCTCTGTTATCAGATTGACTGTTGCAGCATTGCAGAGCTGTGTTCAAGTAACCATTATTTTACTTAATAATAGCCACCTAGTGCAAGAGTTGTGATGGTGGCAATTCAGATATGCCAAACAGAAGCCGTAAAGTGCTTTCTTTAAGTGAAAAGGTGAAAGTTCTAAACTTAATTTTTTGAGAGAGAGGAGACCATGTTCACATAACTTTTATTACAGTATGTTGTTACAATTGTTCTGTTATTTATTATTGTTGTTACTCTCCTACTGTGCCTCACTTACAAATTAAACTTTATCGTAGGTATGTATATATAGCAAAAACACATAGTACATACAGGGTTTGGTCCTGTGTGCAGTTTCAGGCATCCACTGGGGATCTTGGAGTGTATCCCCCACGGATAAGGGGGGACTACTGTAATTCCATGCAGTTTTGTTTTTTAAAAAATCAGACATTCCTTTGATTGACTTAAAAATTCTGAATTTCTTAAGCTCTTTTCTATTTTGACTTCCAAAGTATTTTATACTTCCTCTCCCTAAATCTTTCATTTACAATAGTAATTATTCTTTAATTAAATATTTGGATATTAATCATGAACTTTGAATTGAAGGGCATAACTATATATAAATATATTTCATATGGTCACTCATTAATTTCCCATAATATTTACTAGGTATTTGTGTTTATTGCAGTCTTCAGTAGGTATGTTTAGACTAAATTTAAGGCATTTGCAGATACCCAGTATGTGGAGACACAAGCATATTTGGATGTAGACTTGGGTTTTCCCTTTGTTCTTAGCTTCACTGACCCCAGACTTCACTGTAAATGAGAAGCATATACCTGGAATAGCTTAAATCTAGTACCACCAGTAGGAAAATAACTTAAACCAGTATCCTACTGATGGCAGGTTAATAATGTCAGTTTGAAAATGGGCATAAAGTGTTTGTTAACAGGTGGGGAAAAAATGAGCTATAGTTTATCGAAAGCTGCTTCTAAAGATTTTTATTTCTCGTAACTTTCTGCTCTGTAAAGATAGAGTTATGTTCTGCTCTAAAATCTCCACATTGTGCAAATCAAGCCATGATTTTAGCCATTAAAATCTGATTACTTTAGGAGTCCCCTTTTATTTATTATTTTGGTGACAGTTTAAGCAGAACTAGACATACAAATGTTTGCCTCTGAAGTGGTTGACAATATTACATATCTTGGATATGACAATGGTGTTGTGTACATTTTAACCTAATTTCATTTGTTAAAAAAAAAATGGGGAGAAAGGTAGAGAGCATGAACACAGCATATATTTCTTTCTCTCTCTCCCTGCTTTACTACTAAGGTGTGTTCTAAGATACTGTGTCCTTTGAGCTGTCATAGCTGCGTGGGCAAAGACTTTTTGTTCTTTTTAGAGATAGTCATCACAGTTTCTCATCACACTTAGAAGTAAGGCTTTTATTATTATTACCAGAATTTTAGGAAGAGAATTAACATGAATATATTTTTTTTATTGTAGAAATTCCATTATAAAAACCTTCTTCTTGGTGAACATGATGTCCCTTTAACATGTATTGAACAAATTGTCACAGGTATGTAGTATTCTTTACTCAGCGTGTATAAAACTTGATTCTGGAAAAGGTACTCGAAGAGTAAGACCTCTCAAATACCTGAGTCGGAATGTTATTTCTCTAGAATTACTACCCCCCCCCCTTATTTTGAGTCCTAGGAACATTATGAAAGTAGGAGGGAGAAGTTCAGAAATTACTTTAAAATGGAGATGTAGATTGTATAGTTTTTTTTATATTTTCTGAGTTTTTATCCTCTTTTTAATTAAAAATTTAATGAGTAAATGTATCCAGATGGTGGTGATCTTGTACAAAGAACAATTTAAAATACCTTCAAAAGCAAAGTAAAAAAAGACTCTCCAAAGCTGTAAGAACTATAGACAAATATTCCAGACAAATAGTGTTCAAGTGATGGATAGCCTTCCAATTATTTTCATTACAGATTTGTTAGAAAGTGGGTACTAAAGAGTGAATAACAAAAAAAAAAATTTTTTTTTGGAATAACAAAAATTTTTACAAATTTTTTTCTGTCTTTTTTCAGTAAATGACCACAAGAGGAAGCAGAAAGTCCTAGGCCCCAACCAGAAACTAAAATTTAATCCAACAGAGTTAATTATTTATTGTAAAGATTTCAGAATTGTCAGATTCCGCTTTGATGAGTCAGGCCCCGAAAGTGCCAAAAAGGTAATACTGTTAAGTTTTATCAAGTTCTGGGTTTTGTACTGTTTTTACCAATTTCAGTTCTGTATGGAAGTTCTCATTTCTCAGTTGCTCACATTTGTTAAAAAAAGTCACCATCAGATATCTCCTTATGTAAAGTCAAAGCTAATAGAACTATTTGCTTGGACTAGTTTATGGCTGTTTTAAAATAGTCTATGTAATTTTAATAGCTCCTAAAATATTAAAGAATAGAATATCCCATGGAAATTAACTTACCTTTTAAATTAAAACCATTGCCAGCTAGTTTCTTTCTTGCTTAAAAAGGTTGAGAAGTCAGGTGTGCTATAATTGAAGTTTGGTAAGACTTTTTAGTTCAGTACCTCAGAACTTTACCAACAAACTGAAAACTATGACTGAAGTTACAGGAGAGTTAGGTAAATGCGTAGTTGTAAGAAGGGCCTAGTAATTATTAATGGGTTAAAGAAATTTTAATGAATTGATTAGAGTGATATTTGACAAGGACAATCAAAAGCTAGGAAATTTTAAATTGCCTTATTTTTCCCCACTTTACAGGGAATGTTTACTGCCTACTTGTGAAGTAAAATTCATGGGGAAACATCCCCACTTCTTTGATTCCATGTTTGGCTTTGGCAGAGGAGTGAAGCTGGTAGACCTAATGCACTTCTGCTCCAGTCTGCAGTGCAGCAAAGCAGAGAATAACAACAAATTTCAAGGAGAAAGTCTGCTCCCATATATTGGGAATAGAGGAATGATGTCTTAGTGGAATAGAAACTTGCTTTTCTGACAGTGAGGCAGCTTTTGCACTACTGAGAAATGGGTGCATTTGTTTTCCATGGTTAAGACTTACTGCAGTAAAATTTTTGATATCAAAATGAGGTTATCAAGAGATCTTAACTCAGCTGTTTTTCATATACTTGCATGAGGAGATGGTAGATTTGTTTTGGGGGCTAGAACCAACCGTGTCTTCACAGGATGGCAAACATAAGATGCGTATCTGCAAATGTGTAACCACTAGGACAGTCTGGCAGAATGATGGTGGCCTCTATGGCTAGAATTTTCACATAGCCTGGAAAACCTTCTGTCAGCATACTGCATTATTGAAAATTTAACTAGATTGCTTTTAAGGCCCCGTACAGCTGTTAGATTCTGCAGTTTGTGCTTCTGGCATTTTACCGATTTGAAATACCTGTTCTTATAAAGAAAGATTTTAGAATTAATTAAGTATAAACTGTATATAAAATGCTTTAGCCAAGTTACTCTCCTAAAAAATATACTTGTAATTTAATCCGCCAAAGCATCAAGAACCTACTGATAAAAACCTTTAGCTTCAAGCAGTGTAGCCTCTCAAGAGTTGGTACTCTATGGAACTTGTGTTCAGACAGAATGTTTTTTAAATAAGAAATTGATACAATTGGCACAGTATTTTTTCAGAAAGTTTGCATCTCTCTTACCCTCCACTGTATTTTTCAGATGCCACCATTTCAGTAGGTCATCTTAAGTGGGAACCATTATTATTTGACTTAGCTCTTGAGCCGTCTAAAGTATTTGTTGATCGTTTATTATGTGTGAGGCAGTGTGCTGAGTTTTTCAAGACAGAAAGAAGGATAAGATACAGTTTCCTGCTCTGAAGAGCTTAAGCCTAGTTGAGAAGAAGTATGAACAAATGAAAATTAAATAATAGTGTAAAGTAGCAGCAGAAAAGAGGTTTCCACGTAAATGATTAGTTGCCAAATGAACAAAACAGATAAGTGCTCTGGGAATTCAGAATAAACCAAAAAACCAAACCCATTGCCGTTGAGTCGATTCCGACTCATAGCCCTTGTTTATTGTGTTGCTGGTGAGTGAGCAGGGAGGCCTCATTGAGATGTCGCCACAAAACAGGCAAGTCCGCGTTTTATGCCCTTTTCCTAAGACCATGTTTCTGGCAAAAATCCTTTCCCCAATGTCTTAAAGTAAAAAAATTTTTAAAATGTTACCTCAGTCCAGATATCTTAAGAGTTGTACAGTCATAGAGGAAAAAAAAAATGCAGAACTAAAATAGAGGCAGTGGAAATACAGAGAATTTTTTTTTCCCTGATTTACGTTTTTTCAAACTCATAGTTAAGTCATGTGTGTGACTACCAAAGCTTAATGGCTTTGAGAGTTAAAAACAAAAATTCTGGCATATTCTTTTATTTCAAGTGAAAGTTTTTCATCTAAAATTGGGCCACAGTTGGGAAGTTACAGCTCACTTCTACCTTCTGGAAACTTTGAATACTGAGTTTTCTCTGGAAAATGCTTTGATTGTATAAGTTGTTTTAGAATGACCAGATACACGTTTAGAGTTCTCTGAGGGAGTAAACCATTGATTAGTTTTGAAGTACTGAAAACAATTGTGTTTCTGTTTGAGATAATGAAATCTTACGATGCTGAATTTGTTCACATTTTGTTAAACGCTGTTTTGAAGCAGTCTGGTAGTCTAGTTGGTGTTGCCAAATTTGTGTTATGAAAAAAATAGATTTCTCTGTGCAACTGCATCCGTAAACACTCATCTTCATTATCCTTGGGCTGTCAAAATAAGGATATCTGTGGAGGGTTTATATAAAGGTGGAATTTGATCATGCAGAGTTGGACATCTAGCCTTAGCAACTCAGAGCCCCCATTTCCTTTTGAAGAACCTATGCTTAAAAATGAGGGGAAAAAAGATTGCTTTTAATGATTTGTCATGCTAAAAAGATGTAAAAAGGATGGTAAGTTAAATATACATCCTTTGTCTTCACTTAATTCTAGAATTAGCTGACCCTTGTGAACCACATGTTCAGGCAGAACTATCTTGTTTCCCTTGTGTCTGACTTCCTTCTTGGTGGCTTTCAGACCCACAGTAATACAGGGAATGGATGTGGCCTGCAAATGGATGGAACTTGGTGAGGTTTGAGCCTCTTTAGTGCTGTACCATGAGAGGAGAAACGAGCACTGTGGGGACTTCTGGCCTCTGTCTAGACAAGAATATCATGTTGGTCCAAAAATTGGCCCAAAAGTAGTTTGAGTTTACTTTTTTTTTCCCGATAAAATATTTACCATAATTTAATGTCTTTAATACCAAGATTTTCTTTATTTCCTATGATAACCAGGGCAAATGAACTATTTGAAAGGCTTTTTTTTTTTTAGGTAAAGTTTTTCTTAAAAAAATTTAATATTTGGGGAGTAATTATATTTAATTTTACATGAAAGTGAGACCTACTCTTCAAGTCTTTTAAACTCTGATTAGTGATGGAAGCTGGGAAAGTGGACATAAGCTTTTGAAATAGTGTGTGCAGAAGTGCAAAGAAAAGAGCACTGGCCTGTCTTCCTCTTCTCAGAATGTTCCACAATACCAGCATGAGTTTAATCCAGATACACAAGTTAGTATGTGCCTTTGTCTGTGTATGCAGAGATACCCCTTACTTAAAACCAAACCCGTTGCCGTGGAGTCAATTCCTACTCATAGTGACCCTATAGGACAGAGTAGAACTGCCCCATAGGGTTTCCAAGGAGCCGCTGGTGGATTCAAACTGCCGACCTTTTGGTTGGCAGCCAAGCTGTCAACCACTGCACCACCAGGGCACCAACCCTTTACTTAGGTTATACAAAAATAAATTACACACGCTTATAATTACACTATAGAACAACAACAAATTTAGTTCAAGTTGTGCCCTCCCCCAAAAAATCAGCCAGTTTGCAAGTAGTTAAACTTCAGTTTCACAATATTTTTTATAGTCTCCTTTAAATATAGATACTACTAGACACACTCATTTGTGTCTAGTCTTTGTAAATATGAGGTTATTTTAAGAGTTTTCAGAAATGGGCTGTGTTGTTTTTTAGCTAGCAGGTAAGCTTTGTTTGATTTTTGCTTCATAGCCACAAAAAAGCATATTCCACTCTCAATGATCTGTGAATTTCTTTTGCGTAACCAGGACCTGTGACTGTCTTCTAAATGTCTTAGAGAAAGAAATATATTAGTATTACTGGCTTTGGAGCATTTTCCTTAATATATTAGTAACTAATTTTGCCAGTTAGTATTTAGTACACCCACTGTTGGGCACAAGGCACCTTTAGGAAGCGACTGAAGAGACCTCATACAGTGCAGAGGTCTGCAGGTCTTCCTCATGTCTGCTCACAGAGGCCATTCCTGGTCTCTTCTCTAAATATTAACCTGCTTCCTCTTCCCTCACTAACACTTCTTCGTATCCTCCTTCCCTGCTTTGTTTTTTTTTCCTTTAGCACTTACCATTACCTAACTTAACTATATTTTTCTTGTTTATTGTTTGTCTCCCCTTCTAGAATGTAAGCTTGATGAGAACAGAGATCTGTGTCTGTTTTGTTCACTGCTGCATCCCCAGGGCTTAGAACATAGTAGATGCTAAGAAAATATTTGTTGAATGAATGAGAGACATGCATTACCCTTGAGGAACTGACCTTAATGGTAGGAGTTAAACAAAGAACCACCTATGGCCTGCTTTTTATCCACGCTCATAACTATTAGGTGAATACCTTGAAAGTACAACTACATAGCACAATTCACTAAAGAGATTGCTTTATATCGGAACGGTTATTATGCAGAAAGAACAGAAGGGTTTCTGGGATAAATACCATAAAATTGACTTGGTCTAGGAAGGCTGGTGAAGAGAGCATTCTAGAACAGAGGTGTGAATTACAGAGAAGGCATAGTTGGCTGGGAGGAGTAGAAGGATTTCCCAAGCAAAGAGAGTAGCAGAGGAGATGGCTGGGCTGAGTCAGATAGACTGTGTGCAAACGTGTTTCTCCAACCAGAGGCTACTGGGGGGAATACTGGGAAGGTAACAGAGATGTCTGGTAGAGAAGAACCAGTTTTGTGGATAATCAGGAATAAGGAGATTTAATCTATTATGCAGGTATCTGGGATCCACAGCAGATTATCAGGGGAACAAAGTGATTGGTCAAAATTACATCTTTAGAAGAGAATTCTTAAGTGTTGTGGACTTTTAGAATGTAGGGAAGCCCACGGAGGTGCCGTAAGGTGAGTACAACTTAAAGAGTACAACTATAGTAGTGCAGAGAATTGGGACAAATATGAGCAGTGTTCTAGAGAAAAGTGCTACAGTGCTTATCAACTAAACGTGGTGCCCAGGAAAGTAGGAAGAGATGAGGACTTTTTCGAAGAGAGAGATTTAAGTAGTTTTGCTGCCAGACGATGTGCTTTAGGTAGGGACTGTTGAACAGACTAGGAATGGGAGTGTAGATAACCATCTTCTAATTTTTGTAAGTGGGACCCTCATAGAAAGCTCCCCTGTAGACATTGAGAAAATTGAGGTATTCAGTAATTTCAGAAAGCATTTTCTTTTTCGTCAAAGCTAATAGTAATTGCTAATACCCGTCCTGTATGCTGTATATTTTAATTTAGTAAGACGGGAAACATTTATTCTATAGATGACTTTTGAACTAAATTTTAAACAGCAAGCTGACACATACTGGTTAACCGAATTTTTGTCAACCCACCCCAAACATCTTTAATTTGAAAGGAACTAACAATTAACTAAACTTTACTTGCTTGCTCGCTCACTGTTGAAAGTATATCATTCTGGCTTAATGCTTTACCTTCTAAATGGCATTTAATCTTTTTGAGTAAGCTCATCTACTTTTCTCTCTTAGCATATGTCTTAAACTTCTTTCTTTTTTGCTCACTGAAGAGTGTTAATATCCCCCACAGTCCAGCCCAGGGCTCTGTAAGCACAGAGCCCTTCCATCATCCCACATGTGTGGAGGAAGGCCAGGCACACATTAAGATCACTAACCCTTACCACAGCCAGAGGTATTGTCTCCTTGTTACAGATGAGCAGACGGTGCCTCGGAGAGATAGATGAGTTGACTTCATGCAAATTACTCAGCAAGTGGGGGGCAGAGTAGGATTTAAACTTTGACCTGTTTCATTCCAAAGCCTTTGTTTTGCCCCCTACAGGGCACAGTCTCAAGACATTTTACTTAAACACAGTTTTTTAAATGTACCTCTTTTTACCAACCACGTATTTTCGGGTTTCTTGCTAAGGTTTTTTTGTAATTGTGTCTTGTCTGTTAGGTTTAGATTTTTTAATGTGTGAGGTATGAACATTAAAATGTCATGCCTGTATTAAACCTTCCAAATTGCTGGTATTGAATCATTATATTACTCCAAAAATGAAACTTTTTTTACTTTTCTTTAGAAATGTGTATGTTACTTCCTTTTTATAGAACGCTTGTTTAGCTTTCAGGTTTCATTTATTTGAGTAAAATTACTTTCCTCTAAAAATTCAACTCACCAAACACTTATTGGATACTTAATATGTGCTAACTAAAGATGAAGCAGTGTCTTGGGGGCACAATGATGAATACAGACACCTGGCCTCGAGGCTCTTTCGCATTCTAGATCAACAGAAGAACATATAAGTAAGTCTCTATAAATCACTACCTGCAGATGCTCCCAGAGATCAAGGCCTTGTTGTACATTTCATTTAAGTGTGTTAAAATCAAATTCTAAATGTAGAATTTTTCCTAGGTATGCCTTGCAATAGCTCATTATTCCCAGCCAACAGACCTCCAGCTACTCTTTGCATTTGAATATGTTGGGAAAAAATACCACAATGCAGGTAAATATGAAAATATTAAGTATTGTGACTAACTTTACATTGTGTGAATTTTATTGTTTATCAGAAGCCTCCAAGTACATGAGCTTTAATGATTGTAGACTTGTTAGCTTCGTGGCTGTTAGAGAAGTAAGCACTATATAAAAGAACCAACATTTGTCAAATTATTTTTTGACAAGTGATGAGGAAAAACCTATAAGCAGCTGTAAACGTGGGCTTATAAGGGTCATGTCAAATATTTTACCTAGAATCACTTTGGCTTGTATTTTATGATGAAGGAAGACAGATTCTTCCCCTCTATTAATTGGTAGCTTGGGTTAAAGTAATCTTTTAAGAAAACTGTTAGAAAACCTTTTAAAAGAGTTGAAAAGCATAATTTTTTCTGGCAAGATGTGATTTCATGCAAAAGCTGAAGTGGTTAAAAACTTAAGATCATCAAAGTATTGATATGCTATTTCTAAGTTTCATGAAAGGATGATAAGCATTTGTCCAAAGGGCAGGTATATTCTAGATAGTTTTTGTAAAAGTAAAGTTATCCGTATGTCTTTGTCAGCCATAACACCACCAAGGAAAATTCCAGATGATCATGTAATTCTGCACATTCTGTTTATATGCAGTATAATTTTAATAAATCAATTTAATTTTAGTAGATTTTAGTAGTATAGAGGAAAAAAAGAAGGGGTGTCTGTGGGTTTGTGACCACACACTGACTTACTGTGGTGGCGTGTGTTCTCCCATTCTTCAAGGAAGAAAAATATGTCAGCCAAGATTTATAATGAAAGACCCATTCACCCTAGCATGGTCTGGATGGGAATCTTATGAAAAAATATTAATTTTACTGGATTTTTATACTTTGTTCCCTCAAGACACGTGATAGTAATTTAAATAACCTATATAATGGAAGTATATGCCAGTATCACTGTATTATAAATATATTAAAATTAAGTAACAATACACAGTATCTGCAGACACATATGGTATAAGTACTCTGTCATTACTTTAAAAGCTGTTTATCAACACTATAGTGATGATTTACAAAAATGATGCCTTGCTAAACAGCTTTTATAGTACCATATTTCCAGAAATTAGAAAACAAAAGTATTTGTAACTCAGTTTTTCTTACCAATATGTACACTAATTGTAACTTAGGCTGGAACAATACAGTTTTTAAAGTTTGTTTCTTAATATAAAGAGCACTCACTCACTGTCTAAATATAGTTTTGTAGATCTTACACTGTTAGTCAGGTGACTGTTCCTTTGGATCATCATCACGTTCCAGAACTGTGGTCATCAAAGTTCTCTTCAATAATATTCTCACCTAAAGTTTCAAGAGAGTAGCTGAAATGGAAGTTTCAAGAGATATGGGTTGTAGGAGAGTGTCTTTGATTCCCGCTTAAATTTACTTATGATACAGACCAGTCCTTAATGCTACTTCTTTTCTCATAAAAATGACTCAGTCCAGTGTATAAATTCATGACTTCTGCAGCAGTGTCATGACTTGGCCTTAGCAAATATAGTAAACTTTGTTACACAATTAATAACCTGATGCCTGGCTAAATTACTTTTCTTTTCCCACATTTTTCTTCATCCATTCCTTGTGGCATCCCTGGGTTAATATACTTTAAAGAGTTTATTCAATCCATAGCTCTGTTAATCAGTTCCTCTATTTCTTCTGGTGTAGCTTGTTGGTAAAATTTGATTATTAATACTTAAGAACCTCAGGAACACTTCTTTATATTAAATCCTTCAAACTCCTCCCCCTTTGACAAGTACGTCATAAACATAACACTTGGCCAAAGTTTTGTTACGATTCCTCATAGGGTGACATCCTTTAATATCCTTCCATGCTGTTGGAGAAGCATAAACTGCATCTTTAAGATCAAAAGAAGCCTGAAATGTCCACACACTGCAGTCAGAAATCATTAATTTGAGAGTGAAAGATGCCCAATAATCCACTCTTGAACTTCTGGATGACACCTTCATTCATTGGCTGGATTAAAGAAGTCCTTTTTGCAGGCAGGTAGGTGACAAAGCTGTTTCCACAAATAAGATCTGAAGCTAGAGGATGTTCCTCTGCAGTTATCTAAGAAAACAATTCTTTAGCTGGCCTTAGGCATTCTGAAGTTCCCCTTCATGTCCGGTATCATATGAGTAAACTCTCTGGGAACTCAGCAGTCATCCAGATACTGGTCTGAGGGTCCTCAAGTTCTGGACGACATATAGCACCACAGGCTTTGCAACATTTCTACACGCAGACTACAGGAGGCACTAGCACAACAGGGATTCTCTGTTCTTTGTATCTTGAAAGAAACAATGAGGACTGTTTTCATCAGTCAGGTTGTTACTGACATATAATGTCAAAAAAGTAGTTTCATCTTTTATAAAATGGATAAGATGTCAGATTATGCTTCTGGACTAAAGAATTGAAAATCTGATAAAGTTACCTACAGCCTCAGTGTTAGCACCTCAACTCTATGAAAGACACTGTACTTAGAAATGCTGCAGTGTATTCTGGATTTGTAATGTTGCTCCACATCAGAAAATGTGCATTTTCAATGAAATTTATTTTATTTTTTAATTTTGTCCTTTTTATTAACATAGGCCCTGGTATTGAATTTTCCTTTAAATGCTTACTTGAAAACTACTGATATTACACAATCCATTTGACACAGTTTAGGAATTTTTAAAGTTTGTTGCTTGTCAGTCCTTTAAGGTATTCCATATAACTGTAAATGATTGTAATTGATCCTTTGTCTCTTGAATATTGATGATTCTTAACCAGCCACATGCATCAGAATCACATGAGGAGCTTTTAGAAATGCAGCCTTGGGCTCTGCCCTAGACCTGCAAATCAGGACCCCTAGAGGGGTTCTTCTGCAGACTCCAGTTAAGAATCACTGTGCTGACTGGCCTCTGTTGAAGTTCTTAAAGATCACAGTTTTGTTTTTACTTTTTTCACCCTTCCTTCTGACTCTAATTTCTGCAGTACCATTGAAGTGATAGGCTTTCTTTTTGTTTGTTGACCACTTTTACTATCTTTGCTGCTGCTTGAAGCCATTCTAAATATGGATGGGACTAATTAAGTAGAAGCCCTCTGAGATAACCTCACCCTAGTCTAGGATTAGACTTCTAAGCGGTGTCACAGAAGATGGCCATAATCAGGAGAGTTCAGATCTCATTTCACTTTTAGTCAGCTGAGGAGCTGTGTCATAAAGCCTCAGTCACATAGCTGTCAAGAGAGCCACATCTCCTTAAGATGACCCACTTTGCCAATCTGTTGCTGTGATCCTTCATAGTGATCCATTATAGAACAAGCCATGGGTATCAGGCCTTTGGGACTTTCTGAAAGCAATAAAATTTTTAGACTCTAATGCCAGACTGAGTGTCTGTTACACATTCCATAATGAGCTGTTACTGAGGAAGGTATGAAAAAAGAAAACCAAACCCGTTGCCGTGGAGTTGATTTCAACTCATGGCAGCCTCAGTATTACAGAGTAAAACTGCTCCATAGGGTTTTCTTGGCTGTGATATCACCTCGCCATGAGTCAGAATCAGCTTGAAGGTAACTAACAACAACAATCTTTACAGAAGCAGTTTACCAGGCCTTTCTTACACAAAGTAACTGGGCGGATTTGAACTGCCAGCCTTTGGATCAGCAGCTGATTGTAAACCAGGAAGATACAGGATGTATGACAGACCTAACTTAGTTGTTGACAAGTGTACAGAGAAACCTATAAAATGGCAAATGATACAAGATCCTGTAGGCATTCTTACTTTATGTCAGAAAGAATTCTCTCAGATCTGGAGACTAAATTTTGCCAAATGAACAATCTTATAAACGGTAGTATGTTCTCAGACTAGTTTATTAAAGTCTGTAACTCAAAACACTAAAAAGTATTTAGTTACACTACTTTTTTTACAATCTCTAAAAATACTGAGTTTGTTCTTTATATTTCTTTTCTAGTGATTGTTGTCTTAAGTGTATCTAGGACCTCTTGTATAGTGTTGAGTAGTAATGATAGCAGACATCGTTTCTGTTTCTGATTTTAATGAAGTGCTGTTTGCTGTGTGTTTCTGATAAATATCCTTTATCAAGTTAAGGAAATTCCCTTTTATTCCTAATTTACTAAAGAGGTTTGTTTTTGTTTTTTTTTTTAAATCCATAAACAGGTGTTGAACTATATCAACTGTTTTTCTGCACTTACTGAGCTGATCATATAGATTTTTTTCCCCTTTAATCTGGTCACGTGAAGAATGACTTAGATTTTCTAAGATTGAATGGCATTCTGTGATTTTGGGGGACTTTTTTTGGGGGTGCTCTGGAACACTGTAAAGTGAGAATTGCTTGGAAATCCCATGAAGGTTTACGTTCTGAAGAGATTCTAACCCCAAGTCCCCTCAGCACACTTTCCCATTGTTACACTGCTCCTGAGAAGGGGTTGAGGTGGGTGGAGTGGAGCTGGGATACCTGTCCATAATTAGCATTTTAATTGTTAGCAAACTCTGTCAAAGTCAGAATCGCTGGATGATTCTCATGCCACTTAAAGGATAAAATTCAGAATTCCTACCAGGGCATACAAGACCCTTCCTAATCTAGAGCAGCACTGTCCGATAGAACTTTCTGGAATGATAGAAATGTTCTCTAATATGTCCTGTCCAGTATGGGAGCCAGTAGCCACATGTGGCTCTTGAGCGCTTGAAATGTGGCTAGTCTAGCTGAGGAACTAAATTTTTAATTTATTTCTGTTTAAATTTAAATAGACCCATGTGGCTAGTGGCTGCTTTATTGGGCAGCACAGTTGGAGTGCAGGCCCCATCTAACTTTTCACTGTCTCGTCCGCCATCCCATGATTCGTAATGTAGTAGCTATAGTTCATTATTCCGTATTGTATAATACTGCCATGTTTGTAATGCTCCTCTTTGCCTAGCATGCCTACCTCCTTCTCATCAGCCACCTGGCAAGTTTTGACTTACCTCTTAGGACTCCATTGAGATGTGGTCAGGTTGTGAAGCCTCCCCTGCCCCAGCATTCCTCTGCAGTGAGTTAGGGGCTCCTCTTCTGTGCTCTCATTGCACTCATACATCCAGCCTTGTTACTGCACGTGCGCTCTGATGATTGCTGAGCTTACCCCCACTGTCTTGTAAGTGTATTAGAGAGGTCAGATCTTATTCATCTCTTTATTCTCAGGCCTTCACACATGGTGAGTTCTCCAAAAACACCTTTCTTCACCAGGAGATAATAAATAGTCTGTAGGAATGGATATGGCACATTCATGGTACAGTAAAGGATTTTGTGTGGCTACAGGGGAGAATGGGAGTTGGGGTAGGATGAGAAATGAAGGTCAGATCAGTTACGTGAGGGATCGTTAAGGCTAAGGGGAGCAAGCCGTTTAGGCTTGCTTGATTCAGTTGCAAAATGAGCATGATTTAAGGCAAGGGAATAGTATCATGAAAGCATCTTTTTAGGGAAGCGTGTCAAGATGCAGGCTGGTTTGAGTGCAGCAAAACATCATGTCAGGATGTCAGCTAGGAGACTTGCCACCATTGCAGCACAGAGCAGTAAGACACTGGGCCTGAGGGGTTGTGCCGTCTGTCACGGGAGATTTGGCTGGCCTGTTGGGACATCTGCAGGTCTCCCAAAGCCATGGGTTTGGTCATAGAAGGTAGCAGCACTCCACTCTTTAGAGAAGGCTCCTTGCTAAGGAAATTTAAGTCTGGGCTCTACTTGCTGAAATCTTCATGTGGGACCAGCACTGTAGTGGAGAACAAGGAACCTTTGTGAGCTTTTCAAAGGAAAATCGAGTAGATATAGGAAACAACACATTCTATAATGAGCTGATAGAAGAGGGTCAAAAAATTGATATTAGAAGAATGAAAGATTTGTTGGGCTTGAGATAGTGATTGAGAACAGAGATGATGCATTCATTTTTCTAGGCAAAAAGTATGGAGAAAATCAGCAGATGACTAGGACTTACCACAGTTTAGAGCAGTGGAATGATGGAGGGTCAGGAATGGTGTCCATAGAACGATAGGGACAGAAGACGGCTGAAAAGGAGAAGATAAATGGAGAGGAAACATGGCAGCAGGCATTGCTCATCATTTGGGAAGTTGGCCAGTAGAAGGAAGGAGGAAAAACGTATAGTAATAGTACAGTGTAGTAGATAGAGTGGTCCAACGTGATCAATGCAAGTCTTTTCAAAATTGCGTTGACCTGTTTATGTTTGAAGGCACAGAAGATGGATAGAAAAGGCAAAGTTGCATAAGGAGTTAGGAACGAGCTAGACAAAGATTAAATGAGTTACGTTTTAGAAAGGAGAAGGGTTACCTTTCTCAGGCTTTCTGGAAAAGTTAAGATTCTTGGAGACACTTGAAGGATGAAGCAGGGAGAAAGTACCAGAGTCACAAGAGCATGTGTGTGACAGAGAATGATGGATGTAAATGTGACTGTTAAAATTAATAACCTTGCTTTTTCCTGTAGCCAACAATATAAATGGAGTACCCTCAGGAGGTGGAGGAGGAGGTGGTGGTGGAGCTGGTGGTGGCAGCAGCCAAAAAACTCCACTGTTTGAAACCTACTCAGATTGGGACAGAGAAATCAAGAGGACAGGTGCTTCTGGGTGGAGAGTTTGTTCCATTAATGAGGGTTACATGATATCCACTTGGTGAGTCCAGTTTTAACAATACTATTTGTAAGTGGAAGATACTTCTCTATGAATAATAAACTGTGCTGTCATCGATAACTTTCAGGTTATGGCTAACAGAATATTTGTTTTTAATCAAATTATAGTGTTTAATGAATATTTTATTTTAAACATAATCACAGTGTATCAGTATCCATTGAAAGAAATTAATAGTAATTCCTTACAATCACCAATAATCCAGTGAGTGTTAATTTACATTTATAGCACGTAAATGTCTTTTACAGTTGATTTGTTCAGATCAGGATCCAAACAGGGTCCTCATGTTGAATTTGCTTGATATGTCTTTTAAGCCTTTTAATCTGTAACCGTCTCCTCTCACCCATCGTTTGACCAACCATTTATTTGTTGACAAAAACCAGGTCATTTGTTCAATATAATTCCCCACATTTTAGATATTGGCTGTTTTGTCCCTGTGGTGTCCTTTAGCATGTACCTCTGGCTCCTTTATTTCCCATAAAATTTTAGTTAAATCTAAAGAATGGCTTAATGAGATTCAGGCTCAGTGTTTTGGGCAAAAAATACTTCATGAGTAGGGCCTCCTGCTGCACCACGTCGGAATCTCCCCTGGACGACTCTGTCTGTGATGCTGATTGACCAGCAGGCTTGGGGCTCTCAGCCTGACCCACCCAGCACAGAATTCCCCGTTCCTACACAGGTAATCCTTGTCATTCGTGGCAGGTATGTTCTGTAAAGTCTCCAGGAACACTGAATTAGCAAATACTGAGCCGTTGCTCCTAGGAGAAATACAAGGTTAGGTTCTTGTGAGCCTCTGGTCACATTTTCATCTGCCGATCAGTACGTAACTATTCTATGCGTGTTTCTCTTTTAAGACACCTTATTTAATATATATTGTTTCACTAACATTGAACTCACAGCCAACAGTATTACAGTTCATGCCTGGATGAAGCTTATCTGATATACATGTTTTCTCCTTAAGGCACATCACAGTCTTGTGCTTAGGAACTCTAGACAACACTTCAGCACTTTGCTTTGGGGGCCATTTTAAATAGAATCACCAACAAAAATGCAAAAAACATGGCACTAAATAGACACACAAAAAGAACGCTTGTTTACAGTATAAGAGCTAAAACAAGAAGGCAAAACATCACCTGGTTTGACCTCAGCTCGCAGTGTGTACTTCGGGCGACTCAGTTTTTCACCGCTCGGAGCATGTCTGCGATTGACTGCAAAACTGCTGCGAGTATTGCTTTGGGGTTACAAGTAAACCTTAGCAAGTAGACATATTTGCAAATACGGAATCCACAGATAACGAGGATTATCTGTAATGATTTTAGCTGCCAAAAATGATTCTCATTAAGGAGGGAGGATTATTGCCAAGATCAGTTATTTCATGAAGGATTGCTATTGATCATATTCCAATTCTATTCATTCTTTCTGTTTTCTGTCAGACTTTTCTCTTATCCACCCTTTGGCATCCTGAAATACAGTTCAAAAAAGAAAGACAGTGTGCATTATTGTCCAGTCAGTGCCCTAGAGTCTGACTGTCCCTTTGGCGCTAGGGAAGTGGAGAGGAGGGAGGTAATGTGGAGAAGGGAGCTAAGGCTTATTGGTAGGTTTGTGGGGGTTTTGTTTACTTTGTTTCTTTGGCCTGTCATCTCCTTACCCAGAGCCTGTCAAGAAAACAAAGGGTGGTTATGTTTTTTCAGAAATTGAATACATGTTTGACTAACAGTCATTCTGGGAAATATTTCAGATATCTCATTTGGATTTTTCCCCTGCTACAAATTTAAATTTTTTGAGAATTGACCACATCGCATGTGTCCTGAGCCGAGGTGTCTAGCGTACTAAGTGGGGTGCACATTAAGTGAGGATAAATGTGTTTGATTGTATGTGGGTCTACAGAGCACACTTACACTGCCTGAAGCACAGAATTCTCATGTTAAGATCTGTTTTGTTTTTTTTTTTTCCCTCCAGCCTTCCAGAATACTTTGTAGTGCCAAGTTCTTTAGCAGATCAAGATCTAAAGATCTTTTCCCATTCTTTTGTTGGAAGAAGGATGCCAGTAAGTGATTTCTGGTGGATTGAGTGAATACTGATGTACATTTTTTTAACCAGTTAAGTCAGTATTGTGCTTCTCTCCTAGCTGTGGTGTTGGAGTCACAACAACGGTAGTGCTCTTGTGAGAATGGCCCTCATAAAAGATGCGTTACAGCAGAGAAAAATTGATCAGAGGTAATCAACAAGTGGTCATTGTTACTTTAGAAATTTGTACTTGTGATAATTAAGTTAAATACGGTAAACTCCCTAGGAGTCCCTGGGCAGCACAAACAATTAAGCACTTGACTACTAACTGAAAAGTTGGCAGTTCAAACCCACCCAGCAGGTACCTTGGAAGAAAGGCCCAGTGTTCTGCTTCCAAAAGGGCACAGCTTTGAAAACTCCCCACTAGTTAAAATAATTGGCAGATAATATAATCTTGTTAATTAGTTAGCACCATATATTCTGTATTAAAAAAACCTGTTGCCATTGAGTCATCTCCGACTCATAGAAACCCTGTAGAGTAGAACTGCCCCATAGGGTTTCCAAGGAGCAGCTGGTGGATTTGAACTGTGGACCTTTTGGTTAGCAGCTGAGTTCTTAACTGCTGCACCAGCAGAGCTCCCTGTTCTATATAAGAATTGCTATTTTGAAAACAGTTTTTAGTATATTACAATTGACTGATATTTAAGTTATACTAACTATAATTTAATTATTTGATTTATAAGAAATTTCAGGGTCGTACAGTGCTGACATGTTGCCATAACGAGCGTCACTTGCAGTGCAGTGATTTCCAACTGAGAGACTTCAGGATGAACCAAACTTTTCTTGTAATTCACTTCCTCTTCTTATCCTGTGTGCCCTTCCTAAAGTTCACCTTGGCTGTGGCTTTTAGTGACTGCTTGCCACTGACCATCAACTTTATACCTCAGATCTAGTTTGACAATCTCCATGTGTAAACTCATTATGTCCAAAATCACACTCAAGGATCTGGCCTCCACGCCCTTCCCAGCCTGCTCTTCCTCCCCTCCACTTGCCTTCACTGTTCTCAGAGACCTAGGGGCCAGCCTTGATGCCTTTCCCTTTCGCTTCCCTTCCCCATATTCGTTCTGGCATTACATTTTGTCACCTTGCTTTCTAGAAGTGTTACAAACCTGTGTGCTTCTACCCCAGCTCCACCTCTACCAATGAGCTGTCATTTCTGTCTTCCATGTCTCATCTAGCACTGTGCCCTGCCCCCGCCCCCGACTGGGCCCCAGCCACCCGGCTTTGCCTTGTTCCCTTTCCTCTCCTGACGTCTGCCTGTGCTGGTCCCTTCAGGGTTGCTTTGTTCATGCTCATCCATGACCCCCCACTCCTCCCCATCCACTTGGCACTCACTCATTCTTTACATCTCAACTCAAACATGGCTTCCTTAAGATAAGCCTTCCTCCCAGATTAGACCAGGCCTCACAGTATACACTCTCTATAGCACTCTGATTTTTCTTCATAGCACTCTTTTCAGTTTTAGTTGCATATGTATGCTGCAATTTGAATGCACCTGACTTTCTTACTAGGCTGTAATTCTGTGAGGTGAGGGACTGTATCTGTTTTGTACACCATTGTATATTCAGCCTCAAAGAAGTACCTATGAATTGAATATTTGTTGCATAAACAAGGAACAAATGAGCAGATTTTGGAAAACAAGCTCAGAGAGCCTCAGAGATTGAGGTATATCACAGTCAGTTATTGGTGCGGCCACATCTTAGGTTTTTTCCACAGCCCATAACTAAGAAAGCCAAAACCAAAAACCAAACCCAGTTCTGTCAAGTCAATTCCGACTCATAGCAACCCTACAGGACAGAGTAGAACTGCCCCATAGAGTCTCCAAGGAGCACCTGGTGGATTCGAACTGCCGACCTTTTGGTTAGCGGCTGTAGCTCTTAACCACTGCACCACCAGGGCTCCTAGTGACCCTTAAATGACCCTTCAGTTTTCTGGAAAGGAGGGTGACTAGAATTAGCACATGTCCATATTCTCTGGTGGATTTTAATGTTACCTTTATCACGTCAGAAATTAACCGTTTAGCCTGTCATGCTCTGAGCCTTGTTTTCACTAATATATGGGCTGATTAAGTGCTCAGAGGTGAATTTTGCTGTTAAAGGGAAGATTGCAACACTATTGGATGAGATTTAGTTATACAAATTTGTTACCAGTGGCCGTTTTGTTTAATTCATTAAGTTAACAACTATCTTAATGCCTCTTGTTTTTTCAGCTATCCTATTCTTCACAATTAGGGCAGATTCTCTTTGTTGTCCAGCCTCATCTCCAACCCCTTTTTCTCCCTTGCACGTCATCTAGCCCCATTGGCCACCATTAGATCTCTCAAAGAGTCAAGCCTGTTTCCACCACAGGGCCTTTGCATTACTGCCCTTCTGCCTAGAACATCTCCCCCCACCCCCATCTTTGTGTATCTCCAGATCATTTGGGTTTCAACTTCAGTATTCTCTTCTCAGAGGAGCCTTTTCTGGCCACCTGACCTAAAGTAGCCCTGTAGTCGTTAGATTACATCACCCGTGACATTCACCACATGCAGCCTGTTACTTCCTTGTTAATGGTTACCTCACCAGCAGAGGTACAAACTCCGTGAAGGCAGAGGCCTTGCCTGCCTTGTTCGTCTCTCTATCCCAGCTTTTATGGAGCCTGGCTTATAGGAGGTGCTCAGTAAGGAGATGTTGAATAAATGAATGAATAGTGACTAAAGGATTTTGTCTTTATTAGGATTTGTAATGCAATAACTAAAAGTCATCCACAGAGAAGTGATGTTTACAAATCGGATTTGGATAAAACCTTGCCTAATATCCAAGAAGTCCAGGCGGCATTTGTAAAACTTAAGCAGCTATGTGTTAATGGTAATTTCATTATTATTTTTATATATATACACACATGAACAGGGGATACAGAATTGTATGAGACATGTCAGGAAAGATGATGTACCTTAAAAATATAGAAATAGATATATTTAGGGAGAGGTTCATTGAAATATTTGTACAAATTATATTTGATTGTGCAAGAATGTCAGAACCTCTTAGGAAATGAAGTTTAAACTGCATTTTGTTTGGGGGGAAAATGAACCAATTAATTCACCCTCAAATCATGAAAGGTATAATGGAATACTTGTATAAAATCATTTACTAAGTAGAGCAACATATCACCTTATAGACAAATCTATTAAGATTTTAATGCATACAGTTATTTTGAGAAATGTAACATGACGTGGATATTGAATGGAGCCGTGTCGTATAATTGTGTGGCCTCAGAGTTCCAGTCCATCTGTTAGAGCAAACTCCTACCAGGTGTCTTCCATGTGGACTGGAGGGATGGGCCACAAAGAAGCATGTTAGTGTGAAGTGTGTTCTACTGGAATTGTGTGCGGGGGAGATCCCCGGGCCACCTGGAGGTGAACAAGGAGTGGGGGTTTGCCCAGAAGGGGAGCTCTGCGAACAGCAGGAGGTGGGGAGGGTTTAAAAGAACACAGTGACATGAATGATGGTCAGCAGTCCTGTGAGTTGAGTGTGACTGAAGCCTGGTGTTTGCAAGGTGAGAGGCAGCTGGTGGTGGGTCAGGGAGTGACTGGGCAAGGCGCTAGAGGCCATGCCAGGAAGGCGTTCTCTCAGTCCTGCAGGGGTGGCCCCCAGTGCCCTGTCAGCTGCTCTTCATCACCACAAGGCTCTGCAGCTGACTGAGGGGAAGAGAAGCAGGAGCAGGGCAAGGCTTGCAGAAAGAGCTTGTTGGGTAGGGGCCTTTGGCAGTGCTCACAGAGAGTATGGAGGGCAAGCATCGGGGCAGGGCCTGTCAGGGATGACCAGGGAGCACAGAGTCACTAACTCTTATGACTCTCCGAGACTTCCCTGAGAGAGCCCGAAGAGAAGATACAGGCCCAAAAGAAAGCTTTGTTTTGCTTTTTTGTATTTGCTCTGTTATTGAAGGGAAAATGTGTGATACTTCCTGAAAGCTGATTTATAAAAATTAAAAACCATCATGTGTCTCTTAACTGTTATATAGATCATATAATATTTAGCTTAAAACACCTAAAGCTCTGTGTCTGTGTGTGTATATCATCTTTTTTACAGAGCCTTTTGAAGAAACTGAAGAGAAATGGTTATCTTCTCTGGAAAGTACTCGGTGGTTAGAATACGTACGGTTCGTACAACCTCTTTCCTTTTTCTTTCTGTTAAACTTTTTGTTTTTAATAATTACAGACTCACAGGAAGTTGCAAAAATAGTGCAGAGGTCCCGTGTACCCTTCACTCCTTTTCCCCCAACAGTAGCATTGTCTTACATAACTAGAGTACAGTATCACAACATTGGTGTAATCTACAGACCTTATTCAGATTTCTGCAATTTTATACATGCTGTCTTGTGTGTGTGTGTGTGTGTGTGTGTGTGTGTAGTTCTATGTGGTATTGGCACATGTATAGATTTGTGTAACCACCCCCACAGTCAAGACACAGGATGCCTTCATCACCACAAGGCTCCCCTTTGCTGCCCCTTTATTGTATCACCTCACGCGCATCCCTAACACCTGGCAAACACTAATCCCTTCATCTTGATAATTTTGTCATTTCAAAGATGTTGTATAAATAACTTTTTATAAAGGGTAATGAATTTCTCTGATATAAAAATCACAAAATATACTTTGTTGAAGAATCATATAAATACTGAAGAAATGTATAAGTTATTGAGAATACAAATATGTATAGTGAAAGTTTAGATTTGCTTGATGTCAAGTACTTTAAAAAAATATTTGTAGTGGGAATTAGTGTCTTTTTTTTTAACAGTATTCTTTTTTTATTTCCAGGACATTCCTTAAACATTCAGCAGAACTTGTGTACATACTTGAAAGAAAACATCTCTCTGTAATCTTACAAGGTAATTAAAATAATTACTGAAAACACAGTGATTACCATACCAGCCAGCCTTGGTGATTGATTGTCCACGTTCAAGTAACTTACATTAATCTTACCTATGTCTTATTTACTACAGTATTATCAGATACACTACAAATTTTACAGATTATTAGATTAAGACAGTGGCACAAAGATTGCCAATAGAAGAATAGAAAGAAATCTGATTTTTTGCCTTTTATTAACTCTTTCTTCCTATTTTATGATAAGGGTGTTCACATCCCTTATTAGATTATTTTCTGTCTCTAATCTTGCTCTCTTTCTAACTCATATGAGTTTGTTTTAGCTTAAATACCTTCTAGTTATTGCTAGATTGTGACTCTAAGGAAACAGTTTGGTATCAAGGAATTTATTGAACTGAACAGCCAATAATGTGAATTTTGTCTAGTATTTAGTAGGAATAAACGGCAATGTAAAAATCTTCCAGTTAATCAAAGGACAATTGTATGTTAAATAATTTTACAGCTAGTATAAGTAATTACATTAATATAATTTTTAAGCTTACAATAAAGCTTGATAGACCATAAACTACCTGATTTTGTAATATGTTCACATTGCAAAGTACATGAACACAATACGCTACTTATGCTTCTAGAATTGCTTTTATCAACGGGCTGTCACATTTAACTGACTAAAACAAAGCAATTTAAAACCATTTTTTAAAAAAAGAATAATAATACACTATGGAAAGTAATTTATACCTGATGCAGTCCAGGCACGTGTGTGCATGCGCGTGTGTGTGTAATTTACAAGTACGAGCAGAGCCCAGCAATCAGGCCATCTGTCCTCTCTCAGCTAGTGCCTGTTCTTGTCCTATGGGAAAGTCTTTTACTTACTCTAGATTTCTCCACGCATTTGTAATATAAAGTGCCTCATCAGGGTTACTGAGCCTGCATTTTACTAATACTTTTTATAGAGTGTTTTTTTAAACAGTTCATTAAGATATAATTTACAAAATACGAAATCCACCCGTTTTGAGAGTACAATTCAATACTTTTTTTTAAGTATAGAAACTCCAGTTTTAGATAATTTTCATCACCCGCCAAAGAATTCCTTATGTCACAGCCCCAGGCAACCACTGATCTGCTCTTTTTTTTTTTTTAATATTTTTTATTGTTGAAAATATACACAGTAAAACACATACCAGTTCAATTTCTATGTACAATTCAGTGACATTGATTATATTCTTCAAGTTGTGCAACCATTCTCATCCTCCCCTTCTGAATTGTTCCTGTCCTATTGACATAAACTTACTGCCTCTAAGCTTCCTATCTAACCTTTCGAGTTGCTGTGGTCAATTTAATGCCATGTAGATGGTTCTTTAAAAGAGCACAATGTTCAAAGCAGGAATTCTTTACTAATTCAGCTAGACTTGTTTGGTTTAAAGAAGACTTCAAAGGATGATTTTGGCTTAAGATTTAAAGATTATCTCAGGGCAGTAGTTTTGGTGCTTCATCCAGCCTCAGTGGCTCCAGAGAAAGTCTGGATTCAGTAAGAATTTGGAATTCTGTTTCACATTTTTCCCCTGTTTGATCAGGATTCTTCTGTTAAATCTTTGATCAAAACATGCAGTAATGGTAGCCAGACACCATCCAGTTCTTCTGGTCTCATAGCAAAGGAGGTAGTTGTTCATGGAGGCAACTATCCACATGTTTCATTTCCTCCTTCTGTTCCTGACTCTCCTTCTTCTTCTGTTTCTCCAGGTGAATAGAGACCAATTGTTGTGCCTTGGATGGCTGCTTGCAAGCTTTTTAGACCCCAGTAACTACGCAGTGAACTAGGTTGTAGAACAGAAACACTAAACACGTTATTAGGCCAATTCACTGGAATGTCCCATGAAATCATGACCCTAAACCTCCAAACCAAGGAACCAAATCCCATGAGGTTTTTGGTTGTACGTAAGCAGCCTCAGCAGCTACCTTTTTTTTTTTTTTTGGTGGTGGTGTACATACGTCTATCACAAGTTTTGCCAATTCAATTTTTTACAGGTGTATAACTTACAACAGCAATTACAATAATTGGCTGTGCAAGCCTACCCTTAATCAATGCAATTTTTCCATCACCATTAATCCCACTTCCCCCCACCCCCCTCACCCCCGTACTAATAAAGTTTGGTCTCAGCATAAAATGTCTTCAAGCTCCTTCCATACTGTAGCATGTATCAAGACATCCTTTTCTACCAACTGAGTAGTATTCCACTGTATGTATGTACAACATTTTGTTTATCCATTCATCTGTTGGTGGGCATTTAGGTTGTTTCCACCTTTTGGCTGTTGTGAATAGTGCTACAGTGAACATTGGTATACAAGTCTCTGCTTTCAAGTCTTTTGGGTATATACCTAGGAGTGGAATTGCTGGATTATATGGTAGTTCTGTTTTTAGTTTTTTGAAGAACCACCGCAATGTTTTCCAAACAGCTGTACCATTTTGCATTCCCACCAGCAATGGATAAGGCAACATCTTCGCAGACATTTGTTATTTTCTGGTTTTTTTTTTAATCTTAGCCATCCTAGTGTGAGTGAAATTGTTATCTCATTATGATTTTCATTTGCATCTTTCTGGTGGCTAATGATGTTGAGCAAGTTTTCATGTGTTTGGTGGCTTTTTGAATGTCCTCTTTGGTGAAATGTCTATGTCTGTTCATCTCCTTTACCCATTTTATGATTGGGTTACTTGTCTTTTTGTCATTAAGTTGTTGAAGTTTTATATATGTTGTCAAAGTTTTATATATATTTTGGTTATTAGATTCTTGATGAATATATGGTTTCCAAAGATATTCTCCCAGTTGGTAGCTTGTCTTGTCACTTTTTTGGTAACGCCTTTAGATGAGCAAAAGTTTTTCATTTTTATGAGGTACCATTTATTTATTTTGTCTTTTGCTGTTTGCACTTTTGTTATTATATTAGCTAATGCATAGTTGAAAACTAGGCCTGACAGCATTGCCCCTGCTTGTTCTCAGAATTTTATGGTTTTAGTTTGCCTGTTTAGGTCCTTAATCCATTTTGAATTTGTTCTTGTGTATGGTGTGAGGCATGGATCCTGTTTCATTTTTGTGCATATTGAAATCCAGTTTTCCCAATACTGTTCATTGAAGAGACTCTTCTTTCCCCATCTGATGGACCTGGCACCCTTGTCAAAAATAAGTTGACCATAGATGTATGAGTTTATTTCTGGACTCTCAGCTCTATTCTGTTGGCCTATGTGTCTTATTTTACCAGTGCCAGGCTGTTTTACTGTAGCTGTGTCATGTTTTGAAATCAGGAATTGTGAGTCGTCCTACTTTGCTGTTCTTCAAAACTGCTTTAGCTCTTTGGTGCCTCTTGCCATTCCATATAAAATTGACAATTGTTTTTTTTTTTTTCCTGTCTGTGAAGAAGGGTGTTGGAATTTTCATCAGGATTTCTTGAGTCTGTAGATCACTTTGGGTATTATTTACATCCTAACAATAGTGAGTCTTCCAATCTGTGAACACAGAACTTCTTTCCATTTATTTAATTCTTCTTTAATCTCTTTCAGCAGTGTTTGATAATTTTCATTGTATAAGTGTTTCACATCCCTAGTTAAATTAATTCCTAGGTACTTTATTCCTGTAAATGCTGTTGTAAATTGAATTATTTCCTAATTTCCATTTCAGATTTCTTATTACTGGAGTACAGAAACCCAACTGGTTTCTGTTTGTTGACCTTTACCCTGCAATTTTGCTAAATACCTCAGTTTTGTAAATACCCAAATGGAAGCTTTCTTATGGATTCTTTGAGGTTTTCTATATATAGAATCTTGTATGCAAATAGAGATAATTTTACTTCTTTTCTGATTTGTATACCTTTTATTTATTTTTCTTGTCTTATTGCTGTGGCTAGGACTTCAAGTACAGTATTGAATAGCAGTGGCAAGAGCAGGCATCCTTGTCTTGTTCCCTGTTTCTAGGGGGATGCACTCAGTTTTTCTCCATTAAGTATAATGTTGGCTGTTGGTTTTTCATAAATAGTCTTAATCACATTTAGGAACATCCCTTGTATTCCTGTCTTGTTGAGGGCTTTTATCAAGAAATAGTGTTGGATTTTATCAAATGCCTTTTCTGCAACAATAGAGATGATCATGTGGTTCTTTTCCTTTGTTCTATTGATGTGGTGTATTACATTGATTGATTTTCTAATGTTGAACCATCCTTACATTCCTGGAATAAATGCCACTTGGTCATGGTGTGTTACTCTTCTAATATGCTGTTGGATTCTGTTTGCTAGTATTTTGCTGAAAATTTTTGCATCTGTGTTTATAAGGGATATTGACCTGTAGTTTTTTTGTCTTGTGGTGTCTTTGGTTTGGGTATCAAGGTAATGTTGGCTTCATAGAATAAGTTAGAGGGTATTCCTTCCTTCTCTGTCTTGGGAGATGTTTAAACAGGATTGGTGTCAATTCTTCTCTAAATGTTTGGTAGAATTCCTTAGTGAAACCATCTGGTCTAGGACTTTTTTTTTTTTTGGTCCAGAGCTTTTTGATTACTGATTCAGTCTCTTCACTTGTTATGGGTCTGTTGGAATTGCTGTTTCCTCTCAAGTCAATTTAGGTAAGTTGTGTGCTTCTAAGAATTTGTCCTTTTCATCTAGGTTATCCAATTTGTTAGTGTCCAGTTATTCATCATATTCTGTCATAATTCTATTGTGTCAGTTGTAATGTTTCCATTTTCATTACTTATTTTAGTTATTTACATAGTGTCTCTTTTTTTCTTTGTCAGTCCATCTAAAAGTTTGTCAATTTTATTGATATTTTCAGAGAACCAAGTTCTGGTTTTGTTGATTGTATTGTTTTTCTGTTTTCAGTTGCGTTTATTTTTGCCCTGATCTTTGTTATTGCTTTTCAAGTAGTAGCTTTAGGCTTGGTTTGCTCTTCTCTTTCTAGTTCCTCTAGTTGTAGAGTTAGGCTGTTGATTTGAGATCTTTCTTCATTTTTTTATGTAGGCATTTA